GTCTTTTTGTGGTCCGAGGAGAGTAGGTTTACGAATTGTGGAGTTTTTTATAAACACAACACTCATCACGGGGCTGTGGAAAACCCCACGAAGTGACAGAGAGACGTTTACAGACCAGATCTGGAACTAGCGTTTAGTGTGGGGTCATTGGTAATTTAATCTATCTTACCTTTTTAAATTGGGCATCTATTTTAAATTAGGTATTAATCATTTCAGGAAATCGACTTATAGAACTATTTTTGTTTGACTACAACCTAAACGGACATAGGAACCTAGAGCTTTTGCGAAACCAGATTGTGTCGGCTTTACGAGCTAGTCTAATCGAAAAATGAGTTTAGAAGAACCTGGTTTCAAAAAGATGGATGTCCGGCTCACAACACCCTTGAAGTCAGGAGCAACTTCTTAATAGAGCAGTCCTATGAAAGAATAATATCATTCAACGGTTTAATATCTTGGCCTTCTAGATTCCCCTTTCACCCTTGGATGTCCACCTCTGGGGTCACACAAAGAATGAGATATATGTATTTGATCCTCCCGCGACCATAGAAATCCTGAGGCAAAGAATTTTGAGCACAGTTGAAAACTTTATCAGAATTAGACGAGCTAAGGTTGTACGAAAAACAGTCATCAATTGTCAAAGGTGTCTGGATGCAAATGGACGTTATTTTGCAAATCTGTAAATCAATACTAATTTACATAATTAGATTTTACGTTACAATATACAATTTTGTAAAATGTTTGTTTGTTCAAGTGTAAACTAAATTTACGATATTTGGCTTCTATTTTAACACATAGTTGGGAATTTGATCCAAAACATTTGACTTGTTGAGAAGTCGATATTAACGTTAATATTCTATTCAAGGCGTTTATGTGTTCTTTATGCCTTACTCATTATGTTATTTTCTGACAAATAAATCATGACCTCCTTAGAAACAAACTAATACATAACATTACGTGTGATGGTATTTCGGTGATACTCCAACCTTTAATGCAATTGTGAGACATCACTAGACTGGAAATTTTACACTCTTTTCAAAAATATCCAATATGGCGGCCGGCTATCTAACGCACCAAGTTTCCTCTAAAACTTTCCCCAATTAACCTTTACTGTAGGTATAACAGGAGCCGAGATCCTGTATAGACAAGCGAATCTGGGACACACTGTATACCAAGTAAAACCTAGGCAATACTGTTCGCTTGCCATGCAACCCTCCTGTAATCTGTTTTACTATTATTTATCATTCTTAAAAAATATGATTTAAAAAAAAACAGTTACCTGCAGATCTAGGCGGCCGGATTTCGTACTATTATCTCAGATACCCTGCGCATATGCACTAGCTGGCTTCGATCATTCCGCCCGTCAAGTTTTGGAGTAATTTTTCTCATTTCGATGGTTCTCTTGCTATATAGGCTCTATTGTGAAGTTGTATGAAACATAGCAATTTGACAAATATCAATCCCGAGTTAATCCATATCTTTGAGGCATCAAGCGTTGCGATGGATTTCTTACCGACTTTGTATATAGCGAATAGTGTGCTATTATAAAATTTCTTGTTTTGACGTGGCTTTCCAAAATATACTAAAATATACATTCTATTCTATTTGTAAAGAAAGTCTATGTTTCCACATAGTTACGAATCACCCTGTGGGGAGCGGCATATTCTCCATGCAAGAAGCGCATATTTAGCTATAATTTGTTCAATTAACTATTTTAGATATATGTATTGTATAGTAGCGTACCTATCGACCAATCACACACTACTGTCAACATATACATAATTTCATTCGAGAGAAATAGGTACGGGAACCATCTTTCCTAGTGATGAACTGTCATCTAGCAGCTTGAAGCTTATGCTGTCTGCAACAGCAGTTCTTAGCTCTGAAGGTATAAGGCCGTTAAACTGCCTCCATGGACCTTCGTGTTATAGCATTAGGTGTACAGACATTTTCGTCCAGGTCCATTAGCAGTTCTAGTCTGTATCGACCTTTTGAGTATTTGCATTATCATTAGAAATTCGATAATCACACAAACTGTTGTGTCAACAAGAACGTCACGTCCTAATGTGCCATATAGCGGAACTGCGCTGCGGATAACCTTGAATAAAAAAGCTCGCTTATCCTAGTGGGCTGGATAAATGGTAATGCGGGGAAGATTTAGCCGGATATCTTTTTTGTAGAAATGTAAGAAAGACGCAACTCGAAAAATGCAAGTCTACACGAAGCGCGCTTGAAGATATCAAAAAACCTTTAGCCAACTTCCGCAGGAGCGGTTTGTGAATGAAGCTTTTGATGCAGTATATTCATTAGATATTTAAGCCTAGTTATTATTGAATATTTTAAATATGAAAGACAATATAAAGGACTGAAATGTGTTGATTTTTCGTAAAACCGTGAACGGATATGACCGACAATTGAGATATACTCGTTTTACTAAACGTATCATTCTTCGAGTCGCTTGCTAGTACCCGTCTAACCGCTGCTTTCGAAGTGAAACTAGCTATCCGAAAAGGTGGTATTTTTCTAAGACAAGCTGTTTCCGTTTGGTGCCTGGATAAAACTGACCTAGGCGCTGTGTAGGGTTCATACCCACACATAGAATGACCTTTTATCTGAAGTAAGTACGAAAGTACGCTGAATTCTAAGTATCTAATTCTGACGTGCGCCTAACTTACTTTATTTGTTAATAATTTGTTTTTATACTTGAACCATCACGAAGGCTTTGGGCCTAAATGCTCATGGGTAAAGAGAAGAAACCCGTGTGCATGCAACATTCACATATTCTGGCCCCGCCTTTGAGATCCGCTGGATGGTACCTCCACGTTCGACAGACACAGCCCGTCTGCAACCTATGGATAATCAGAACATCCATAGCCAAGAGAAAAATTCTCTTGGGACGGGATTCGAACCCGCGTGGCGCACGGCGACTGACCAGTGGAAACAGTGCATCACCACTGGCTGTTTTTATACTTGTATTTGGCAACATTGTAAATCGGTCATGCGTTCTCTTTTCTTTCCATCAGTTGCTTGAATCAAAAATTCATATAACATTCCTTCCGGCTTCGTCAACCTCCATGTTTGATTTTCAGTATGTATTCTATCCATTAATATGCAACTAAGTAATAAATCTTCATTAATGAATTTTAGATTACCGTAAAGCGACCTGTGAATTTGTTGTATTCACGTTTTATTGATGTTTCTCAATTTTTTTTTGAGAACGCTAATTCTGAAACAGGATTTTAGCGTTGTAGGTAGTTTTTTAATGATATTTCAATGAGCTATGCAGCTCACGCAATATTCTTGTAGCACGTCCTGATGAAAGAAATGAACGTTTTCGAAAATTTAACATGAAGAGGAGCAAAATTATTTTCTCGACTTCCTATATTCATTTGTGTTACGGCTGCAACCTCAAGAGTTTTCCATTTTTCATCTCAAGTAGTCAACCATCCCTCATCTCTCGATCAGACTTTGCATAAGGCGAATGACGTGTTGAACCTTCACTATCGGCTAGGCTTCATCTTACTGTAGCAGAGCTATTAGTGTCCTCATCGGATGGTAGGAAGCACAATCACACTCCTGGGTGGAACGGTTACGGCACTGTTGTGTTTGAACATGCTTAATGGCTACACTTGCGGATAAAAGTCTCCTGACAAGAATACATAAGTCTATAAGCATACCAAAATGCATTCAGACAACGCAATGAGCAATCAGCGGTTTCAAATCAATTTAATCAAGGTACTGTAAATCGTATTGCTCGTGTACTCGTATACAGCTTTGCCAGCAAACTTCCAGTTATGCTGGCTTATTACTCCCGCTGATTCGTGCTCCCTGCGTATTGAATTCCAAAAAATGGATTGGCGATATTGAAATAATTCTACCGATATTCTGAATTCACCCGGACAGAAAGCTTTGAGTTCCAATAGAGAATAGACACATCAATACAATAGATAATCATTCCTACATTGCTAGCGCTGATCGGTATTCCAACAATTAATCTGCTAGCAGAAAATGCCGCGGAACACAAAGACGATAAAGGGATGCACCTTTTATTAGATTGTTAAGCGAGCTGTGCAGATCGATTACTATGAGGCTGGTATCCTTTGTTTTTACTACCGCACAAATGTCATATTTTGGGCTGTATGAATAGCCTTGCAGATACTTCATACTTTACATGTAGTATCTATATGCAAAACCTGCATTTAACACCATTTGGCCCACATTAAATAATAATTAATATGCTTTTGCAGGACCGATTAACTAACTATATCTACTAAAGACTAAATCCAAGCGTCTGTATCATTTTATTTTATTGCTTTATTTATTGGTGTTTAGGAAACCAGTGTTGTGTTCTCCGAGACGGCATGTGAAGTATTAAGACAAAAAAAAACTTTATATTAATGTTGCATAGGCAATTAGTGACTCTACTGATTTTTATTTCCTGACAACTCTGACGAGTTTTATCATTTGCTCGTAATTCAAATGACTATAATCAGCTGAAAAATGATAATAAGAAAATAGCTTAATACCCAACATCAATACACAGGGTTTCCTGCTATAGGTCAATAACACCTTTCTAATTATTTTGTATGACCACTTAGAAAAAGTTTTGTTCACGACTAGTAGTGCCTTATATAGATTTTTTCACGTTTTTGTCGTTTTGGAAAGTCGGTACCAAATAATAATGATATAGTCGTATTTTAAATGCTATATTCTGTACAGTTAGTTTTCTTCATCGAAGCAGCCACGAATTTTGTTATTGTGACTTTAGAACTGCCTAAGCTCAGAAGATCTGGTAAAAGCCTCCTCAGGTAGATTGTTCCAAAATCTTGACACACTACGGATCAAGGAGCGGTCGTATCTGCCTGGCAGGCACATCGCGTGGCCACATGATGGAGGAAAGTTCTTAGAAGCAAATCCCGTTGGCATAGCCGGCACTTAAAATTTGAGCTCTTGACTCAAGTAATGGAAATAGGTTAAGCAACCCGTATATATTTGCGTGCGTACTAGAAACTGGTAAAAAAACTCATAATGTACTCACTCTCGCCATCCTGTCCGTCAACTTCCTCCATTGCAGTCTTGAAGGCTCTGCCAAAGCCTTCACCAGGCATCAGTTCCGGCAGCTTTATCCTGACTTCGTGGTCCCTAAGGTATGACTCTATGACTCCCAGGAAGGTTCCATCATCCATATTGGCACGTGCGTCGTTTTCACTGCGAGTGCTAATCAAATGTACTCCATCTCCTAGTACTAGGTCTTCAGGCTGAGACTTTAGGTATTGCCGGAACACCTGAAGCAAGAGCGTGGTTCAGTACATTTGCTCGGTAGGTCTGAGATATTAAACGTTAAATTGTTATAATTAACTGCAAGCGCTATGGTAAGCTTTAAGGAGTTAAGGATTTGAACTATATACCTAAATAAAGTTACTCAACAGTCTGTTGCACATTTTTTGCGAAGTTTAACACAAGTATTCCGTTTCTGATCCCTTTGCAGATGCTTACCTATTAGGTTTTAATGTCCGGAAAGGTAAAACAAGTAATCTTGGTAGGATATGCTAACAAAATATTGAGCTTATACCTCAAACTGTTTAAACGTTATCTGGTTATTGGTTTATGTCTGACGAGGACTTTGATAGATATGGGTGCTGTTAAAAAGCCGGCATTTTATACCCCTAAAAAGAGAAATAATTTGGTGTTCACCTAAATAAATCATTCATCAATGTGTTCTACCTGAAGCTAACCTAAATAATGATATATCACCGTGTCCGAAAAATTATTTGAATTAAAATGAGATACACCGTCATGTATCAAAACTTGTTGTAGCCGCTTATTTACTCTGAATACTTTGACGCTGCCTATATCAGCATATACAAGCATATAGGAGGCTTCAGCGTAATTTACGAGACACTAACCATTCCGAAGTATATATAGTAAATACAGAAATAGCTGTGACAGATTCTCCTGGAGATGACGATACGAGATCTCATTTTATCTTGGATAGCTTCTTGGATGCAGTGAGATAAGGTTTCGCTATAGTCAGATAGATAACATTCATAAATGCTTCTTATGATGTACATGTCATATAACATAGAGAGTTTTATATCTGACAAGGGCAACTACTCTTTGAACAATCACTAATCTATATGCATGTACATGATTTGTTTTCACATAGTGTAGAATTATATTTCCGTCTTGAGATGAAAGTTCCTTCGTCCTAAACCCGGGTGGTTTGAAAATGGAGTGATTTCACTTATCCTTGCGGTCAATCACTCAAGTTCAACCCCAATAAATCTCGATTAAGAATATTAATATTGCTTTTAAGCTACCTTCGGATCCTTAAGCACACTGGTCACGTATTGCAAAACCGAACTAAAAAATTACCTAATAATTAATAAGTAACCTGGCTCAATGCGGTTTAATCAAAAACATTTCGTGAAGTACTCCTATTTCTTAAATCTATTATTTGATTGATGAGAAATGTAGATCACATAATAACGATGTGCACCTCCCTAAGAACAGGCAGATGGGTAATGGACATATGCTTCAGTCATCGTGATAGTCAATCAACAAGAACAACCCAGATACATTTTGATTGAGGCAAGAGGTGTACGATGACTACTACAGCTTAGAACTTTTTTCTGATCCTCCGGAATACTGGTTCTCAGGAGACTTATAAGAAATACCGTCTACCTATTCTTAAAGTCAGGGAGTATGAGTATAGTATATGGTTTATGGTGCTTAAGCAGGAGTAGTTAGGAAATAGACAGGTGTCTTAGTTATCTTGAGAAAAATTACTCAACTGCAAGCCAAGCGTACCGAAAAATGTACAGACTAGAAAAATCGGATTCGAATAATGAGTTGGTTAGAAAAAGCATTCCATTAATGGCTTCACCGGAAATAATTAAGCAAACCGTCAAACTGGCCCCAAAAAGGGCCTCTGATGGCTACCATCCAGTTCATGGGATGGACACTACGAGGCCATAATATACCAACTAAGAAACATGCACTTTCCCGTACGAAATTATGAGGCGCAAGCCTCGACAATAAATATAGAAGTTCAGGAAAAATTGAACTGGTTATGTTTATAAGTCTTAAATTTCTGATTGAAGATTGACACATTTTCCAAGTAGGAATATTATGGACCGCCGTAATCGTAATCCGTAATCAGCTTTCACTGTCGCGAGCACATGTACCTAAACTACATTTGCGATTATTTGTACTGATTAGTAATAGTCACTCATGTGGGACTACATTTTCATTTCTATATCTTTCTACGCAAAATAACCAGCGTTGTGAGGAGTACTTACATCTGGCCAAAATAAATGTGTATTCTAATTTGGACGGGTCACATTTGAGTTAATCAATGAATTAATCTTACTTTTTCAATCAAAAGCATCCGTGATTGTGTGGTACTGAGTTCTCGGATTTCTAATAGACGCCTTGATTATTGCTCCTAAAAAACAAAAATTTTTCTAGTAAAACCATATATAGCATCTGAGTGCCCTTTTCGGAAATAATCATTGTTATACATGGTGTCCCAATTTTTAGGTAGATAAAGTAATTCCTTGTTTAATTGTAATGCTCTAGTTTTTGTTACATATATATAATCGTATATGTCCTTTTAAAACAGAAATACTTATGTAACGTAATCATAGGTTTTGAATTCTGGTTGTTGAGCTATTTGGTATTTTACATAAAAAGGTGGGGAGAGTAGAAGACTTTGTGTAAGAATTGTTTTATTATCTGCAACTTTAACCTTATTCATCAATACTGTAAGCTTTTCAAATGTTCAATCCAGGGTGGCTAAAAACGCAAAGCGTACTTCTCAAAAAATTTAATGGAACGTACATTTCAGGAAACCCACGTTTACGTGCTTTTTCGCTATATGGAGGCCGGTAGTGTCCATGTATAATGTATTTGAGTTATTATCACTGAAAAAAAAAAACATAAATCGTGATTTATAATTACGACTATACACTTTTAATCCTGAATCTTTTTCAGGGAATAAAAACAAGTTTATTTTTATATATTAAATGGAACTCAGAAAGAGACATTCAAAAATGGTTGACACAAAATTCACAACTCCGTCTGTCAAGACAGCAGATTTGCAGGCTGGCAAACATTAGTCTTTTTTTAGACAAAGTAGATAATAGCTCAACGATTAATACATAATCAAAACCCAAAGGGTGTTATATCAACATCCTCCTTTTAAGATGACCTATTCCAATACGTAATAAAAAGTTGGACGTTCCGTTTAAAGAAAATCAACTTTCAGGAGTGGTTTAAAATTGGCCACCCTATATAATAGTGAATATTTTATAAAAAGCCCCCAGATACCATATATAGTAAGCCATGAATCATTACTTTTGTCCCTGCTTAGGAACATTATTCCGTCCTCGCATTGTTGAAACACGCTGAATAAATACACAAATAAAGCTGATAGTAATAACGCTTGTTTTTGATATTTACAATTATTTGAATACTTAATATCTGTATCCCAAACTATCTGAAGCTAAGGATAATTCGAAGTAAGTTCATATCAGTAACCGTATCGGAAGCCAATATGAAACGGAAACTAAACTCGAGATATGTATGTGTGTTGCAACGTTTGGCTAAAACTATGATGTACATCTTGCACCATATGACGTGGCCCTAATCTCGTATACACCTTGGCGATAGGGCTTCAAAATTAGGCAAGACTGACTTACGAAATTGCACGCGTCATGACAGCCTTCATTACGTTAAGTCAATCTGACAGAAATATGTGAAAACAAGTCGGAAATTTCAAACGAGTAGCAATATAGCCGGATCATACTAGAACTAATCAATGCTGGATGTTGCTGGCTACTCTGTTGCAGGTAGCTAATGTGTTAATAAAAGTTTAGAGGCCCTAGTATTCATATCCGAGTATCCGCAACGAGATTCGAAATTTCACGTCAATAACATCCCTACTGTCAAGCTGTCAGAACACAGGTCACCCATCACTAAGTCACCAAAACTTGATGGCCCAAATTACCTTTGTGAGAATCTGCAACCCGGGTGATTCCTCCCCCGGCGCAGCGCCGGCCCCCGCGGCCAGGGGTGCACACACGACCGCCGCCACAATTACGATCGCGGCAAAACTGGGAACTAAACTGTGCGATGGACGCATCGTTAATGCACGACATACAGGGCGTGGATGCTGCTTTATATCCATCTCACAGCAAAAAGGATGCTACTTTTGGTCACTCTTAATGGAGCAGAAACTAGACTAGTAAACAGTCTGCTTCTAATCGGAATATCCTATCATCTCAAGTGAACGAACGCCTTGCGGATCACATGCTCAAGTGCCACATTCGCGTGCAGATGGTGCATTTCTCAGTGGCGGAGGGGTTACTTTCTTTATCGACGGAACTTTCCTGTGACGTGTGTGAGATGGACATTTTCAGCCATATGTGTTTTTTTGCATTCCAGTTCTGTGAAAATAGAAACTGGGAGTGAGATTTCATTTCACCACTTTTCCATTCGCTTCTTCAGGCTATAAGAGATAACTATTGTCACGGTTGTACGAGGATACCATTAATTTGGAAAACAAACTTATGTAGATATTACTTGCCAACATTTTTTAAATATTTTTTTATATCTTTGACTAGATAATAACTGATCTCTGTTACGGTAGATATCATCTGCTTTTGAGATTTCAACTTTTTCTGAGTGTTTCGCATAAGGGCACATAGCTTCATAGAGTGAACGTATCACCTTAATTAAAATTGGATAGTAAATGGCAGTTCGTAGGCCTCACTTTACTTAAGGACTCATGTGGATATCTCTATCGGTTCCGCGTAGTTGACAATTTTATGGAACATGTATATTTTGCTCATGCCTCCTGCATGCGTGGGAAGCATTACCCCTGGAGACATTAGCCTGGGTTGTATTAAATGACTGATAACAAGAAGTCGTCACAATCAACACAATTTACTGAAAAATACAACTATCCAAGCTGGATAAATAAAAAATCACCCTTTGTCAGTATTTGGTGCCGAGATAAAAATTGCTTTGAAAAATAGATGGTTGGAAAAGACTTATAAAGGAACGGACAGTTATTTCAACCATAACGCTTAGAAAATAAACAAAATTCAGTTAATCAGCTGTGAATTAAACTAGAAACAAAAACAGTGATGATGATTAGTTCGTAACGAGCGACCCAAAAATTTCAGCGGTATGAATTTTCATGCCATTCAATCAAATCAAAGAGTTTTGTCAAACTTCTTAAATATTGGCTGCAGCGTAAGTCGAAAGGAGCTATATTGAAGCAAGTATTTTTTATCGATAACGACACATACCAACAAAATTAGAAATTTTTTAGCTAAAAACATAAGTTTGAACCACTATTACAGAGGGTATCATCAGTATTTCCTTTAGTTCTAACCTGTCCTTAGAGATATACGTGAGTTGCTGTCAATGGACATCATCGTATGCGAAATGGGTATTACGCTGAAACATTTTATTGATTGCCGCTGCTACATGGGTAGTCTCCCATGCGACGTCAATTTGGATGTGTTGATAGATTGATAGATAAAACCTAGAAGAGATCATAAAGATTTGATACATCAGTACTGAACTGTAATAACCATATTATCGACTTATAGCCTTGAATAAAGGGGAACTGGTACTAAAAACATATGGAGATATGAATTAAAAATGATTTCTTTTCTGATCACGTGCCGTAACGTGACTTTTACCATAACACCTAAGCCGAACTAAATAGTACCACCCTGTTCCATAAGGGTAGAGAGCACCAATAGGTACGCACTACTTGTGTGTTAAGGTCATCTTAGATTGCTGCGTGTGACTGGTAATAGAAAAGGCTAATATCCCCCTCTACTAAACTCTCTCAGATATCCCCTACTTAATCGATGTGACTTTAGGATAACGACAATAAACGCACTTGAGTGGAATGCGCAAGCTTCACCTTTATACCTTCTGGATTAAAACCAATTTTCCGAAATTTCTTCTCCCTGATTTTGGAAGTAAGTCCCATCTACTTCGTCCGGTGCTACGCCTCTATTGTACATCTTCTAGGTGAGCCGTAAGAACTGGAGCTTTGAGCTAAGCCATGCGTCATCCGTTAAAGAATATGCCAACACAGTAGGCTGAGAAAAACTTCCTCAGTAACTAGCTTTCCAAGTTTCTTGCAGAAAAAAGTTCACACTTATGAGTCATCAATATTAAATACGCCTTTAAACATTCTGATGGCCTTCACAATCCATCTGATGTTTTATAACATTTTAGCTTAAAATGTATGAAGGTTTTTTGGTGAATTTTCAAGCTTTGTCCTCGTTCATAGAGGAGTTGATTTAAGTTAATCATCCTACAAACGGAGTAAATTAAGGCTGTTGTTATACAGTCACTTGAAATGAATCTTCAGTACCAGTCACAAATATCGATTCCATTACACTCCGGCAGACAGTTTACCTCATAAAATATGTAAGTGTTCATATATTTATCAAAAAGAAGAGCATGAATGTGAGCTCTGTGCTGAAGTTGCTCCTGCAGTTAGTCACTCTATTGTAACCTATAGGATCATCGGACCATTTTTTAACACCACAAGGTTTATAAACGCTTAATGCGTAACACATGCATCCAAACTTTTTCAGATTGTGGAAGACCTTAGCCACCACTTACTCAAATCTAGTCTGTGGAATGGACTAATGTTGATGATACTCTAATCTATGACCAACGTCTTATTATAATCCTGCTAGTCTTCACTACGTCTATACCAACATCTCTACCTAACCCTGATCCTGTTCTTTGAGATTTACTCATGGAAGTTATGGATACACTTCCTTCTTTCCCATGAGACAACAAAAAGCCTAGACCAGCCTCTCCAAGACTTGGCTTGTAAGGTTAAGTTCATATTAGCCTGTCTCATTTCTTTGTATAAAATTACTCGATTACCATTTAACGTAATTAGATATAACTTTTATTGAAAATGTAAGAAAACGTTTTTCATTAATAAAACTTCTTTCCTGTTCTGTTTTTGTGCTCTCACCATAGCAGTGACAGCCTTTGCCAAGCCCCTTGCTTGAGCTTTATGCCTGTGACTGAGCTGCCCAAGGCTACTTATAGTCTCCTTTCAGTGTGAGATCATACACTCAATATAACATATTTCCTGGGCGAACATAGAAAATACGGTTATTTAAGTTTCATCTTTCATGCAGGTGCTGCACACATCGAGCAATATGTTTCAGTGGAAGGTTGTGTTTACAAATCACAGAAAGTATCATCTAAAAGTGAAAAGTATCATCTAAAAGTGAACACAACCAAACATCACACGTATGATCTCGAGTAGTCAGTATTTATACATATGAACCTCAGGGCATAACTGATTGAGTTCTAATTATCTGAGCCCATCAACTAAGCCAAACTAACCTGATTCTTAAATTACTACTTATTACTAGTGTCACCATTTCAGCTTATCTGCAACTGCTTATAATACATCAGATAATTTTGATGTCTTGGAAATAACTTTTATAATTCATTCAAGGTTGAGTTTTGAAAGCTCAGTTTTACTGATGCACCAAAAGATAATGGAGACCATAAACAAGTACATCTATGTAGTATACTCGTACTTGTACAACTTATTTTACAAAGGCAGCCAACCGACACTATCGTAAGCTTTTGAACTAATACGTACACCTAGAGATACAAAATGAATATACTATAGTGGAAGTAACATAGCACGTCAGATTTAGGTCTCGTTGTTTATGAATGAAAGCTTTCGATCGGCTGTGGCATGCTGCCCTCTTATGCAGACTTCCATCATAGGGCCTTCCACAGAAGCTTTGTAGCTGGTTGGCTGACTTTCTCGCTGGCCATCAGATCTCCGTCGAAATTGACGCGTTCTCCTCTGCATCCCACAACGTCAACGTAGGTGCTCCCCAGGGATCGGTCTTCGTTCCAACATTGTTCCTCTCACATATCAACCACCTCCTACCCTGTACGATCAATTGTATCTGCAGCTTTGCTGATGACAGCACTCTACATGCTAGGATTCAGGGCGACAACCCGATCTCTGCCAGTGAGCTGGAAAAACATCCTGTGGTTTGATGCTTTCAAAACCGGTTTCGATGTATGGGCGAGTTCTGCCAAAAGGCCATTCAGTTCGGCTACTGACCAAAGGCTAGACTATTTGTTTAGGGCTAAGCAATATTTTTTTCTACATGACGTTTTTACTCTATACAAGGCACATGTTTGGGGTGCAGCTGCTCCGACTACTTTGTCTATGATCGATGCTGTTCAAAGGAGAGCTGATTGATGAGTCTTCTCTCGGGAGCCTTTCGCACCGACGGGCCGTCGGCGATCTAACTCTCTTCTAAGTAAATATCCTGTGAAATATATTTTCTTTCAGCTCTTGGTAGACGGCAGGCCTGTAATATAACATATGTTGACGGGTTCATATTCGGTGGCGCAAGCCGCTACGCGTAATGCTTACATACAAGGTGCTGTATACCTTTATGCTCTGAATCTGCAAATCTGAGATGCCATAGTACACAGGTTTGCGTAATAGAGCAGCAAGCCAAAGCTGATTGCAACACTTTTCAATATAAAGTGCAAACACATGAGTCTTACTAAATGGCTGTGTGTTCCTACTCCACAACGAATCCCTATTTTCACCATGCTACGTCGTTAGTCAGGTGGAGCTCGGGATACTTTAGTATTGCCCACGTTGTGAAATTACGGGATCTAGAAAACAAAGATGCTTGACCTCCAGACCGTGCCAGCTCGTTGCATAATTAACTGCTTCATTACTAATTGGCATTAATTGTCGTAATCTGCTATGCGCTGGTGGTGTATTATTGAAAGCTGAGGTAAACTGGACGTCGATGTCTTGCCTTTTGGGAAACTAGATCTTTGAACATCGACAGAAAGGTTACTCATTAAGTCACTCGCGGGAAAAAGTGCAGACATCTCTTTGTCGTCATCTCTAAAGACAAAGTTAGCTTTGTGATGAAACGTTGTGTGATATGAAAAACGGAGGATCTTATTACTTGAACAAAAATGTATGATAAACATCAAGAAGTACCAGGATTTGAGAATTTTCCCCAGGGATCATTTCTCACGAAGCATTCTGTTCTCCTGCATTCAAGAATCACCCCCCTAAAGTGCGCC